ACAGATATGAGCCACCACACCCGGCTAATTTTTGTATTTTTAGTAGAGACAGGGTTTCACCATGTTGGCCAGGCTGGTCTCGAACTCCTGACCCAAGTGATCGCCCACCTCGGCCTCTCAAAGTGCTGGGATTACAGGCATGAGCCATGGCACCCGGCCCAAAGGTAAGTTTAAACTGACTTCTTTTTTCCCCCCCCCCCCCCCCATTTTCTCCACTGGGACATCTTCCTTTTCTTCTTCTTAGGTTTCCCAATTATTTTTCTATTTTTTTTAGTTCTTACTAAAAATGTGCTCAGCAACAGAAACCGAGAAACTATTTACACTATAGATTGCTACATAAACGCTAACAGTGTTTTGTTACAGTATTTGTTCAAATACATCCCTCTCCGCTTCCATTTTATTTTATTTTTTGTTGTTGAGACAGAGTCTCTCTCTGTCACCCAGGCTGGAGTGCAATGGCACAATCTCCGCTCACTACAACCTCCACCTCCTGGGTTCAAGCAATTCTCGTGCCTCAGTCTCCTGAGTAACTAGGATTACAGGCACCTGCAATCACACCCAGCTAATTTTTGTATTTTTGTAGAGATGGGGTTTCACCATGTGGGACAGGCTGGTCTTGAACTCCTGACCTAAGGTGATCCGCCTGCCTCGGCCTCCCAAAGTGCTGGGATTATAAGCACGAGCCTCTGTGCCTAGTCCACTTCCATTTTAAAAATAATTTTTTCATAAAGGTCTCAAAAATGTATAATTAATTGATTTTACACTAAGATTTTTCTATGCAGGAGACAATGTCCATTTATAGGTAATAGTCCACAGATTCTGTGAAGCAAACATCTAGGTTTGAACTACTGGAAATGTGCTTCTTTCCAACGTGCTCTGTTCTCTACTCTGGATAAAAACGGGAAAAGTTCTCAATAAATAGATAGGACATTTAGATCTTCTCTCTAACAGCCTACTTCACTTTCTATGACAAGCAGCAATAGCATTTGATTGAAAAGCTAAGAGTGAGACAGGCACAATGGTGCCCACCTGTGGCCTCAGCTACTCTGGAGGCTGAGGCAGGGGAATCACTGGAGTTCAGGAGTTGAGGCTGTAGTATGCTATGATCTGTGCAGTGCACTTGTCTGTGACCACTGTAACCCTCTCTGGGCAACATAGAAAGATCCCATCTCTTTTTCTTTTTTTTATTTTGAGATGGAGTCTTGCTCTTGTCGCCCATGCTGGAGTACAATCACACCATCTCGGCTCACTGCAACTTCACCTCCCAGGTACAAGCAATTCTCCTGCCTCAGCCTCCAGAGTATCTGGGATTACAAGCACGTGCCACCACACCTGGCTAATTTTTCGTATTTTTCATAGAGACAGGGTTTTACCATGTTGGCCAAGCTGGTCTCGAACTCCTGACCTCAGGTGATCCATCTGCCTCAGCCTCCCAAAGTGCTGTAATCCCACAGCTTTGGGAGGCCAAGGCCAGTGTATCCCCTGAAGTTAGGAGTTCGAGACCAGCCTGACCAACATGGTGAAACCCTGTCTCTACTAAAATACAAAAATTAGCCGGTTGTGGTGGTGCATGCCTGTAGTCACAGCTACTCGGGAGGCTGAGGCAGGAGAATCGCTTGAACCCTGGAGGTGGAGGTTTCAGTGAGCTGAGATTGCACCACTGCACTCCAGCCTGGGCAACAGAGTGAGACTCCATCTCAAAAAA